ATTATTTGACCTACCCCTACCCCTACCCTAACCCTACCCCTACCCTTACCCCTAACCATAGCCCATAACAAAGACATCTCAAACAATATCATCTTTGCATTAAAAATTACATAACTGAGCGAATGACAGTTGTCATAAACATGCATAAAACATGCATATTCATAACGTGTCATGTCATGATTATGTAGGTGTCATGTCAGTCTTATGCACACCCCTTCAAGTAAAGTGTAACCAAGATGGTTTTTAAAACTGGACATTTTGAACATTCAGAGAACATGCATCACTTAAATAGGAACATTTGCAAAACTTTCTTGGAACATATTTTTGTTAGGACTTTAATTCTGAAATTCTGAAACATAAAGGAGATGTTATGCAGAATGTTCATGTTGCTTTCCTATTCAAGAAAAAGTTTCATAACAGTATAGTTGCGCACTATATTTGAGGTCTTCTGAAGTCATGCAGCAGACCCAAACTGACACCCAATCTCATTTACATTCTCATATAACCTGGTGCAGGTCATCTAAAGGTGCATTTTATGGCTGAACACAAGCATGCAAGAGATTTGAGAGCTGCAGATATACAGTGCATATGGTGCTTTAGATCCCAATTTTACAGTTTGATAGCCGTGAATTGTTTTACGGATAAAGATTCTGTCTAACATGTTTTGTGTTACTAACCTTGATTCCTGTCATGACCATGCAGGGAAAAACTGTAAAATAATAATAATAATAAAATACCTGCCAATAAGAGACTGTTGGCATAGAGGAAAATCCTCAGTTCATTTAACTACAAGCAGTCCACGCTCAAATACATTTTTGTACAGAAGAACTAAAAGTGCTTTAACTAAATACAAGCTTCTTCAGCTCCATAAATAATTTGTGAACACAATTCGTGTCTTTTTCACAAACTGAGGGATGAATCAAAATAATTACAAACAATCCACATTCACAGGTTGAGTAACTATAGTAAACTTAAAACACTTTTCCTCATTTTACTTCCATAATCTGATGTATCTCTGAGAAAATCTGGATTTCAGTGATAAAAATGAAGGTGGAACTTGGTTTTATCTATAATAATTGGTTGGATGGCGACATGAATCTATATAAATATTATAGATCAGTGTTTCGAAATGCATTTCTTCACCTTAAAAATGACGTGCACTGATAAATCAACACAATCTCATATCAGTTCATAACTATTTTATGTTTTGAATTTGTACCATCTACTCACGCGCCAGTGATGGTTATTTAGGGGCGGGGCTTTCATGCTTACTTACATGTTTTCTTCTAAAATTCGTACTTTTCTGCTCTGCTCGTGTTCATCATCAGTTCTCTCTTCACAGCAGTTCAATCAGTGTACTGTTTGAGTAAATTAATTACTCCGGGATACTGGTTTATTTCGACTTGAGTCTCTGAGCAGAGAGAGAGAGAGTCAGTCACGTAAAAAAAAAAAAAGTGAATAATTTAAGTAATTTGTGGATTAGTGCTTACAGGAGACGCGAACCGTTTCAAACGATTCATTCAGTCCGATTTGGTGACCTTTTGGTTCACTAAGAAGAACCGGTTAAATCGAACGATTTGTTCGCGAACGTTTCACTAACGTTTTCGAACGAAGAAATCGCTAACGTTACCTCGTAAAATATCTGCGTTTTGCCAAGAGAACAGGATGGATAAATAGTTGACAATAAGACGATTAAGAAAGTGACTATGCTAATTCTTCATTCTTTTAGTGTCAGCAAACTGTGCCACAGGAATCGTTGAGCTTCATAAATGGATACTCATGATATTCCACCACTGATTAATCACACTGAATGAAGTCTACAGTAAATCAATTTCTCCGTGTTAAGGGCTCTGTCAGCGGCTGATCTCACAGACTAATACAATCACAGATCATCAGGCGCCATCCCACTATTTTCAGCTTCACTGCGTTTCCATCGCAGATGATGATGATGATGCTCTTCTTCTGACCGCAGGACAGTGATGGTGTGTCAGGACACATGTACCTCTCCAGACATCAATGATTATCATCGTGTCATTCATGATTCAGACAGCGTTCTGTCATTTCACGATGATCTCAGAGGACGAATGGACGCTTTGACCAAATGACTTTTATATCTGGGACTATAAAGCAAGATGTTTGCGACACGATCGAGCTTCTTTCATGCTTTATAATACTCATCTCTGCATAGTGCACGAGAGACTTTGTGAAGTTTGTAAATGTTAAGTAAAGCTACAAGTATGGTTGGAATTGCGTCATACTACTAGCACACTTTTTGCAGTATGCATACTACATTTGACAAAATATTACACTATATGCCACAATTATTTCTTTTTTGACTCATTATTTGATCATGCAAATTTAAGTTGAAGATAACAATTCCACACCTCCAACTCTTTCCTTTCATGTTTTATGTATTTCAAACGCAGTGCTGTTTCTTCTTTGCAATATAAAAATAATGTTTGAAATATTTAACATGGCATATACCACATGCTGTTTCACATAGACTAAAATAGTAAACAGTATCCAGTATAATGGTTCATGTAAAACATGAAATATCAAGGAATCTTCAAATGTAAAAAATCATGGAAATTAATAACAAAAA